AGAAATATTGACGAGTTTTTTTACACAGATACACAATTTATAAGGACTTAGTATATGTATATTATAAATATAAGGAGTCTTATAATTTAGAGGTAATATATCCTAAGTCCATTATTTTATTATCTTTAAACACTTACATTACTTTTATAATACCACAGCAAACTATATATAATACTATTTTTAAATACCGACAATAGTTTCCGCTACAATTATTAATTACTTCTCATTTTTTAAATATACATCAAATATAATGTTTAAGTGCTCCTCCTGTAAAATTATGAAAATGTGACTTAGTATACTATGCTTCCCATGTACAGATATATGCAAGTTCCATCGCTTGCTGAGCCTCTCTGATTTTTCCACATTTCGTTTTAGTCCAAGATTTGACTGCAAAAATATTAGAAAAACTGTGAATTTTTTATATGCATCTATTTGCTTGAAATTTTGGCAGTCGATAAAAAATAGCTCAAAGATGTATGACAATATGTGCTTTGCCTCTGGGGGTGGTTACCACCCTAACACAAATACAGTAAGACATTGATATTCTCCTTCTATACCTTATCTTGTCGTAGGTCTGTAAAGGTTAAAGGAATCAGATTGATATTTGTTGTTTGGCACTGACTAACCAGCCAAAAGAAGGAAGGGCTATTCTATGGCTTGCTCTGCTTACAATTTTTTTCGATGCGCCTGTACTTCAATTACAATTTCATCTTCCCTTGGGATTTTCTGGTATTTTATTTCTGTTTTTCTGCATAAACTGCAAAAAACAGTTTTAAATATTATTTAATATTATCACACCAGTGGTATTTTCAATATGTGCAACTTCTTCCAAATGCTTTACTTTGTATTTTACGCATTTTCACATACATTCCGACTATTTTTATGTCTAGTTTTGTTTTCATTCTTTTTATTCACTGTTTAACATGCTTGATACCTCCAAACAGCAAATTGTTTACTCACCACCAAATACTTAAACATAATGACAACTATAATCTTCAAAATACTACCGCTATTCAAACTGTCAGCACTAGACAACACTAGTTAAGACATTACTAGACATTTCGGAATTTTTTCGATAATATCTAGAATATTCTAGATATTTTTAAGAGTTCTTCTGTTTCGTAAGGGACTTTTTCTATATGGAATCAATCTCACAGAACTGTATTAGCAATATCTTTGTTACAAAAGTACAAAAATGTAAATGGTTCAGTAGATAGTATAATAATATCCCTTCTTAACTTTTTAACGCCTTCATCTTACATTGATTGCATCTTTTCTATTCCCTTTTTCGTAAATATACGAAGAGTTGAATAGAATTAAAAAATGCATCAATTACCAGAAAACGACGGACATTCATTGTATGTCCGCCAATTTGCACAAAACCATCCAACGTTAAACAAAACGTTAAAAAATTACTGGGTTAGAAACACAGGCCTCGAAGGCTGCTATTGTACAGTTAACCGCGACAGTGCATGGTTAGGCTAGGCCAAGATTTTATTAAGAATATGACTCAACCGTCGTTTGCCATTTCATAACTGAATTTCGAAACAAAAAATGAGCTAAACTAACCGAAGAAACGTATTGACTTGATATTTAATATGTGGTAATAGTAAGATCACAGATGCGAAACGACTGGTGATATTGTGGTTAAAATGCATTATTGAAAGATATTTTCTTTCTTGTGCGTTTAATAAACCAGAGAAAAGATATTTCGATAGAGATATTTTACGCGTCAGATGGCCAAGTTCCTTATGACTGTATATACACTTTTTTGTTTGTTATCTTTCCAATTTTAATTATATTAACTAGTTTGGAAGTGTCTATAATTATTACAAATTCTTCTATGGTTTAGACCACTTTCCTCTAGACTTTCATTACACGATACTTCATCTTTATGTAAAGGGTGTTTCATTTCGAGGTACTTTTTTCAACAAGAAAAAACAATGAAAAAAATTAATTTTGTTTCTTCTCTTTCTTCTTCAAGTGCCCTATCCGTTGCGAACGTTGGCTATTAACATGGCAATTCTGATCTTGTTTGCGGCGCTTCTGAATAGTTCGACCGATGTGAGCCCGAACCACTCCGCAGATTTTTGGAGCTACGAGTGTCTTCTCCTGCCTGGCCCTCGCTTACTGACTATTTTTCCCTGGACAATCAATTGCAGCAAACGGTACTTATCGTGTCTCAATATGTGGCCTAGATATTCAAGCTTTTCTTTGTTTAATTGTATTCACGATTTCTTTCTCTCCTTTCCGATTCTTTGGAGTACCTCTACGTTGGTGACATGTTCGGTCCAGGATATACGAAGAATGCTGTCGGTACACCCACATTTCGAATGCTTTTAATTTTTCTCGTGAGCGTCTCCAAGCAGCGTCCAGGCCTCCACGCCATACAGCAAGATCGGAAAAATGTAGCATTTAACTATACGTAGTTTTAGGGGAAGAGACAAATCCTTGCTTATGAGGAGCTTTTTCATATTGCTAAATGCTGCTCTAGCTCGTTCTATTCTCACCTTAATTTCTGTGGCCTGTTCTCATTTTGCATTTACGTTGGTGCCAAGGTACACATAAGATTCTACCTGGTCAATTAGTATGTTACTTATCCGTAATTGTCGAGCAGATTGTTGCTTTTTGCTTATCAGCATCCACTTTGTCTTCTTGAAGTTGAGGCTCAGGCCGTATTCCTCTCTAACTGAATAAACTCTCTACCTGTTGTAATTCGTCTATGGTACTGGCAAGGGTCACCGTATCGTCGGCATATCTTATATTGTTCGTTAACTCGTCCGTTTATTTTTATGCCCTCATTTGCATTTTCCATTACATTTGTTAAATATTTTCTCGGAATACATATTGAATAGGAGTGGGGATAATATACACCACTGACGGACAATTATTTTGATCTGCACACTTTCAGTGAGTTCGTTGCCAATTTTTTTGCTCTTGCTGTTTTGGCCCCCAAGTATAGAAGGTTGCCCACAATTCGAATGTCCTTGTCGTCAATACCTGTTTTTCGCAGAATATCTATCAATTGTTTCATGATTAACATTGTCAAATGCTTTTTCTAAAAAGATAGATAGTACAGATGTTTTATATTGGTAATAAATTTAATACAAAAGTATTTTTTACAAGTCAAAGTAAAATAAATTTATATGTCAATACAGTTAATATACACATAAATATAAACACAAAACATAGATACATTGTTTTAAATTATTACTGTTGACAATACAATAAAATACTCCTCGTATGTAAAAAAAGCATTCACTATAAGGTAACTCTTAATTTTTTGTTCCTTAAACTGATGAAAATTAAAGCTTTTATTCTAGCTGGCACTAAGTTGTAGAATTTTATGCTAAATACCTTGAACCATTTCTGGATCTCTCAAGACGGCTAAATTCTGGTATAAGATTATTGTTTAAACCTGGTGGTATAATTGTGAAAATCTACATGCCGCATTGTATTGGCTAAGATTTTGTTTAATGTGCAACAGACACTGCATAATGTATACACAAGGTAAAGTCAAATTTTTAAAGTCTAAAGGGAGTTCTACAGTCTGCTCTACAAGAGAGCCCAGAGATAATACGAACACACTTTCCTTTGTTGTGCAAACACTTTATCAATATGACAAGAGTGACCCTAGGAGAGAATAGCATATGTCAGATGAGAATGAAAATTACTATGATAAGCTGTTAAAAATAGTTTCCCTGGAAGTCACTTGTACAAGGTTCCTGAACAGAAAAGTTGTCGGGAAAGCTTTTTTAATAGATTAACTATATGTTGTTCCCAGGTAATCCTCCAATCCAAATATATCCCCAAAAAACTTCGCTTCAGTTACACATTGTGGTAGAGCACATTTTCAACACAAGTGTTATTTTCTTAGAGTAAAATTAACACTTTGTGATTTAGAGTTGTTCAAAGAGAAACGGTTAGTTAAAAACCAATTGAATAAGCTTTTTTCAGATGTTTTGCATTAGAAAGGAAGGGTAGTGTCATCACCCCTTGTGTTTATTTCTTGATTTTAGGAAAGAAGAGCCTTTTTTTCTTTCCTTCAAGCAAACTAGGATCCTTCGAAGCGGCCCCCGTATCTTAAATTTACTAGAAGCTTTCTTTTTTTGTTGTATTATTTGCCCAGGAGATTTATGTAAGTAACCCTTTGTTTCATTTTTGTGTAGTTACCCCAATCTGACCTCTTTGATTCAACTTATACCACGACCCAGCTCTCCAATTATCCCCCTGAGTGCCGTACGCACAAGTATCGATTGTTTTTGCTTGCCCTATCTCAACTCCCTTAGTTTCTGTCCCCCAATTTCTACCCCCATGATCTTTACCCTTCTTCTTCTTCATGTACCCATGTCCTTTCAGAACGTTGGTTACCATCAATTAATGCTATTTTAATTTTATTTCACTGCCACCCTAAATAGCATGCTTGTATCTACACCATACCAATCTCGCAAGTTCTTCAAGCCATGAGGTTCTTCTTCGTCCTGGACTGCGTTTGCCTGCTATTTTTCCTTGCATGATATTTTGTAGCAATCTATATTTGGGACCCTCTCTCATTACATGTCCGAAATATTCCAGCTTTCTCTGCTTGATGCTTTTTATGATCTCAGTGGTCTTGCTGAGACGTTCAAGTATTGTGGAGTTACGAATCTTCTCACCACCCAGAAAACTTTTAAAATTTTTCTATAGCACCACATTTCGAAAGCCTCAAGGCGATTTAGATCGATTTTATTCACAGTCCAGGACTCGACAGCATAAAGTAAGACCGAGAACAACGTAGCAGCGAAGTTAGGCGGATCCTTAAATGCCAAATTTTAGGTCTCTGTTTACATAACACCTTTGGACATCCTTCTAAAAGAAGCTCTAGCCTGCTCTAATTCTGGATCTAATTTCGCCGTGATTTTCTGGCATTACAATTTAATTGCTGTCCAAGGTAGACGAATTTTTTTAGCGATAAACAAACATTTTTTTTATTATACCTATACTAATATTAACCTTTTTTTTAGGATTACTTTTGTTGAGTTCAACATGCCGCTCCGAAAGCAACAACAAAACCACCGAAGATATTTCTTCAGAGAAATTGGATAGCACTAAGAATTTAATAGAAAAATTACCAAAGACTGATACCCAAACAAATTTAGTTAGCAAAGATACTCAAAATGCTTCAGGTGATAGTTCCAAATATGCGAAGTATCCTGTAGAGGCTGATACTCTAAAAAACCAAACTGTTCGCCAGGAAGAAAGGAATAATGGCAACGACAACGACGGAAAGGGAAGACAAGATAGTTCCAGGGCGATAGATATAAATAAGTTCCCTTCTACAGATGTTCAAAATAACGATTATAGTGCGTCAGATAACCAAAAGTTCTTGGATAATTCAATTCGTAAAACTTCCACCAAAGTTTTCTCAGATTTCAACTTTCAGTTAACTACACCCAGAACTACATATTTTGATACAAAATATCAAGAAGCTAAACAAAAACTTGAACAAGAATACGAAGAAAATAACCCAGAACACTCTGACGATCACCACATGGATATCACTCAAGAAGTAGATGAAGATGAACACGAACACTTAGATCATGATCTCCATATGGACCGATTCTTTGGCAGTGTTAGAAACAATCCCAATTCCTCTATAGATTACAAAGAAAAGACTAAAATCTCCCGTAACAATACCGTCGATGATAATTCAGAGCACAACGAAATTAGAGTTGAGAAACATCAAACGCTGAATTTTGCTTCCGAATATAATGTTACAACGTCCGAAGAAGACGATACAGGAAAAGGGAGATTCTTTCCATGAAACAACTTCTCCAAGAGCTTTCCTTACTACAAGAAAAACTGTAACATTAACCAAGCCACCTACTACACATAATAATCATATTTTGAGTAACAAAATTGAATCAGAAACTATTAAGGCAATAAATTTCTTAACAACAGAAGATCCCACTACAAAAAGACTGACAGACGAGAACGATATCGTTCCCAAAGAACAAAGTGTGGAAGAAAACAAAATAATACCCATAGAAACTAACTATTCTCAAAAAACAACTACAAAACGTGTAATAAATGTTACAAATAGTAGAGAACAAATTGAAACAACTACAGGAAAACTGGACAAAGAACTATCTGTAGATCATGAGTCACCCACAACAGAGAACTACGATCAAACTACAGTAAACTATGATGTGAATGTTAAAGAAGAAACCACTATGAACGATCAAGTTAGATTTCAATCAACTACTGTTCAAATTCCTGAAGAAACGTCAACACTTGTTAAAGAGACTACTACAGATAACTTTTGATGAAACAATATATGGCATAACCGAAACCACCACAAATAAAAGCTAAAATGGCAACAACAAAGTTGGATATGTACTCAACAGATATTCCTGATACAGAAACAACTACATCAGAAACTGCCACTAAAGAAGCTATTTTGGATTTTGAAACTACCTCAACAATCTTACCCAAAGACGAAACAACTACAATTGTTCCTTCTCAACAGAAGTAGATATTGATACTTCAACTGTTGCTGTAAAAGAAGCGACAAATAAAATAGAAATGATGACAACTACTAAAGAGACTATAACCAATGAACCAACTACTAAAGACACGGAAAATACCGCAACTGAACATGGTAATAGAGTTTCAAAATCGTTTATTTTGGAAGACACTACTGTTTCGGAAAGTACGGAATCAAGTGTAGATGATAAACTATTCTCAACGACCATACTGGATGAAATAAAAACAACAGAAAAACTTACTACTGGACAACACGAAACCCTTGCTGATACAAGTACTGAAATGAAAACTGAGCCAGAGAGAACAACGCAAATATCTACTGAGTTAGTACATGAAACGACTAGTTTTTCTACTAGTGAAGAAGTGACAACTGAAAATTATGTAAAAGTAAAAAGTGTATTTAATACAACACCTACGGAGCAGACTACGATAACTATATTGCCTGAGATTTCAAGTACTAGTACGAAACTCATTTCGACTGCTTCAACTACTAGTTCAACTACTCCTTTAACTATTTTAACAGAGATCTCAAGCACTAGTTCGACACTTTTTTCAACTGCTTCTACTACTAGTCCAAGTACACCTTCAACTACAAGATCTTCAACTTCCACCACAACTGATAGTACTTTAGCTTCAACGTCAAACTCGACTACTGGGTCTTATATACCAACACTCAAATTTCAGAATAACTCTAATGTTTTGAGTGGAACCACCGTGACCACCTCTCCCCTTGTTACTTCTAGTACTGAAGACTACACTGCTGATTCGTCCCCTACTCCAGATGGTGGAAACGATGCCAGAGAGGATAATACGGGAAAAATTGCAGCTATAGTGATATCAACAGTCGGGGCTGTATCGCTTATTTTGTTGGCTGGTCTTTTGGTAAGTCGATCATATTTATACCTTTTAGTATAAGCAGAAATGATTATTGTTCCATGTACAGTAATTGCCAGCTAGGACGTTGTTCTAAAAATTGCTTGACAGGAGATATTTTAAAATAAATGTAGTATATGTTTATTTTGTGATAGAAAAGTGAAACTGAAATGCTATAAAGAATCTATTGTACTCCACATTTTTGCTAATTTTCCGATTTCTGAACGGGTTTAGTTTAACTGGTTTTAGTGATTCTAGGTATTTAATATGTAAGTGACCATAGAGCGGTAAATATAATTGATGGTTATCAAAATGGATTCAGAAAAATAGGGCACCCACAAACAATATTCATAGTTCACACTAAGAAGGAGACAGTAGCACTTGCCAAAAAATCTGCTTAAAAATTAGAAACAACGCAAAGAGCAATGGAACAAATCATGCTTGGAATATCACTAAGAGAATATCACTAGAAACACCGAGATAAGACGTAGAACGAAGATTAGGGATATTGTGGAAGAAATCACAATAGCTGGGACATGAAGAATTCTAGAATGGAGATCAAGGACGACAACAAGAAGCATGGCAAGACCCCAAATAAAATGGTAATGATGACATAAAGAGGCGGATGGCCAGTCAAACAGTGAATTCAGATAGAGCAAGATAGAGAAAGATAGAAGCAATTGGGAGAGACCTACATTCAGGATTTGATGGAAAATGGTTGACAAAGAGAAGAAGGATTCAAGAAAAGCTTATAAATTCGACATAGAACTATATAGTGTGTATATAGACTCTACACAAGTTTTTGATGGTATGAAAAGAAACAAAACGCTACAAGATATTCCAAATACTGTATACCTAAACAAAATATATCAGCCCCTTAACAATCACGTTGTAGGGGCCAAAAGCTGCTGTAAGAATAGATGAAAAACTGACTCTCTTATTTAACATTAACCTGGGAGTGAGACAGGGAAACGTACTAGCAATCATGCTGTTGAGCTTAGTTCTTCTTGAGGCAGTCATCAGAAAAATCAATGTAACCGGCCAGATAAATACCAAATCGGTACAAATTACGGTATATGCAGATGATGTATCTATCATTAGCAGGAATCAAGCAAGGAATCTTATAATTAATCAGGGAAATTATTCCCGAAGCACGGAAAAGGTGTCTTAAAATAAGTGAAGAAAAAAAACCAAGTACATGACAGTCAAAAGGACAGCTGACAATGAAAATAATATCGTAATAGACAACTATACCATAGCACGTGGGGATGTCTTTACATATTTGGGTACATAAATCAATGAAAAGAATTTCGTAAGTAGCGAAATTAATACACGTATTGTCAGTGGAAATAGTACTTATTATGCTAATAAAAAGTTAGATCAAAATTGTTAGACCAAAAGAACCAATATGACTAAAACATTTATTAGGCTTGTAGTAACCTATGAATGTAAGACCTGAGTAATGACAAAAAAAGATGAACAGAAAATTAAGGCATTCAAGAAAAAGATAATGAGAAAAGTGTATGGTCCGGTGCAAGAGGACAACGGTACTTGTAGAATCAGAAGAAACTATGGTGTTAATGAATTGAATGCTTCTACTTCTTCTTCCTTCTTGTATGTAGGCGTTTTAAAGCCGGTTTTTCTTCAATGTTAGCCTCCTAAATTGTTTTAATTATCGCATCAGCTTTGTCTTGGTCTGCCAATACTTCTTCGTCCATTTGATGACTTATCTCGTGCTATTCGTACTATTTTATCCTCCTGCCAATTCTACTGATATGTTCGTTCCACTCCTGTTTTCGTTTTGTTACCCATTCATTTATGTCTTCCATATTGCATGCTCTTGGTTTCTTGGTTTACACAAATATCTATATTTTTATGTATGTATTAGTTCTTCTATTATCTCTTAGTCTTTGTTGTTGAAAGAAGTAGTGTTTAATGTTGCTAATCTGATTGTGGGCTTATTTTTCCTTCTCGTTTTCCTTTTCTCTGCGTGGTTCGTCATCTTACATTCCGTCTGGTTCCAAGGCTTTATATCGGTTTTTGAGCCTTGTTTTCTTTTACAATGGGAATGATGCTAACCTGGTCCATCAACCCTCCTCTTTTATCCGGGCTTGGGACCGGCTGTGGGCATGAACGCGGCTTCTGAGCTACTCAATCCACCCAGTCATCGCGCTCATAACCCCCAAAAAGAGTTATAAGACTTTATTATAAGAATTTTGAATTATATATTAATTATAAATTTTGCATTGTTTTAGTATATAATGAGAAAGAGACAAAAAAGGTTCAACTATAAACAAAGATGCAGACCTGTTAGCTTAGACCATTACAATGTGGATAATGTTTCCAGTTTTAATAGCCAAAGAAGAAAAGCTGAAAGACAGTCGAAAAGATCATACGGAAATCCAGCTTTCGATGATCCAGTAAGTATACAACAAATATTTAGATTCTAACCAATATAAGATTGAGATTTTTATTATACCGGTTTTTTTTGGACAGGATAATTGGACAGAGTGGTATTGTACATGTTCTGAGACCGCTCCCGTAGGAAAAATGTTTCTGAATCGATTTTTTTGCGGATTCTTGTCCAAAAATGTCCCCTTAAACAAATCTGAAGGGTGCTGAATAGAACTGCACTGGTCGCGGTCATCTGTAACATGTAATTCCTTAGTATACTGTTTTTTCATAAGCTTTTTCGTAACGTTCTGCCCATCGCTGTGGAGATCTGGTGCATTTTCGTTGACTCTGGCGACTTCTGTGGACCACCAACCGCTCCATTTTGATCGGGGAAAGTAAAAATAATTGAAAGTCACAAGTACTTTGTCTTACGTTGATGAATGAGCTATAATATCTTGTTTTGATTATTTTTTCTTTACATAATTTTTAAATTTCAGGCTGGCGTTACTCATCCATTGAATTTCCCAGCGTTGGCCAAATTTGCTACGAATGCTGATGATATAAAAGCAGAGTTCGCAGAAATACCTCAAATCACGGCAAAAATAAGCGAACTACCGGATGGATGTGAGACCAAAAATAGATATGCCAACGTGATCCCGCTTCCAGAGACAAGGGTCTATTTGCAACCCATCGATGGATATCCTACCAGTGACTATATTAATGCCAATTATGTAACGGTAAGTAACCCACATATAGTTTATTATCCTATAATTTCTAAGGACGATAATTTGATACAAAGTAAAGTGTTTTCAACTGAGGGAGGCCTATGTCCAGCAGTGGACGCGATTGGCTGATTGATGATGATGAAAGTGTTTTCAAAGTAAGGCTCTAGAAATTCTGATTTTCTTTGTATTAGGCGTACATTGAAGAAGGTTACAACATAAACAATCAACAAATCCTACAACGTCAACTGCACAGTGAAGACCCAACAAGAGAAGAAGTATCAAATGCCATCCTAAAACTCAAAGATAATAAAGCCCCAGGAATCGATGAAATCTGTTCGGAAATGTAGAAAAAAGGTGGTGATCAATTTTTTGCAACAATCCTAAGCAATCCAACTAATAGTACATATATGGTAGAATGAATTTCATACCAGAAGAATGGCTAAAGAGAATAATATGTCCGTTGCATAAAAAGGGTGATCAACTGAAGTGTCAGAACTGTAGAGGCATTACTCTGTTAGCATCTGCGTATAAAATCTTCGGCAATGTAGATCACGAATATATCTATCTATCTAATTAGCCTTCTTCGGTCCATCTTTGGACATAGGCCTCCCCAATCCTTTTCCATTCTTCTCTGTCTGTCGCTACAGTCATCCATCTAGAGCCCACGTGCTTCTTGATATCATCTGCCCATCTCATTTGGGGCCTTCCTCTGCTTCGTTTATATTCCCACGGTCTCCAACTTATAAGAATTTTGTTCCATCGGTCTTCTTTTTGTCTTATATTGTGTCCGGCAAATCTCCATTTCAATTTTGCAACTTCTTGTCTAACATCCCTCACTTTTGTTTTCTCTCTTATCCACTCGTTTCTCTTCTTATCCATTAGTCTTATGTGCAACATTTGTCTTTCCATTGCTCTTTGGGTTTTTATGATTTTGTCCATGTTTGCTTTTGTAAATGTCCACGTTTGGGAACCATACGTAAGAACAGGGAGTACGCATTGATTATATACTTTGGTCTTAAGATGCTGTGGATATCTTTTGTTTTTAAGAATGTAGCTTAGTTTGCCAAATGCCGCCCATGCCAGTCTAACTCGTCTCTTGATCTCTGCTGTTTGGTTCTCTTTGTTAAGTTTTATAGTTTGACCAAGATAAATTATATATAATACCTTAACTTGTTCTATTTCATCTTGTCCGATTCTCATTGTGATGTCTTCATCTGTATTTGTTATAGTTTTGGTCTTGCTGTAATTCATATTAAGGCCTATCTTTCCAGCTTCTACGTCCAGTTCTTTCATCATTTCAAATAATTCATCTTTTTTATCGGTTATCAATACGATGTCATCAGCGTACCTTAGATGGTTCAAGCGTTGTCCACAAATTTTTATACCTTTTTTTTCCCATTCTAATCTTTTAAAAGTATCTTCAAGAGCCTGATTGAAAAGTTTCGGTGATATTGTATCACCCTGTCTCACGCCTCTACTTATTTGTAATGATTTTGTTCCTTCATATACTTTAATTTTTGTTTTGGCTTCCTTATATATATTGGTTATTAGTTCCGTATATCTGTGGTCAATTCGGCTGTTAATCAAAGAACTTTTCACTGCCCAATGTTCGACACTGTCGAAAGCCTTTTCGAAATCTATGAACGCCATATATAGAGGAATGTGGTATTCATTTGCTCGTTCTATAAGTATTTTCATACTTAGTAAATGGTCACTTGTGCTGAATCCCTTTCTAAAACCAGCTTGTTCTTTCGACTGGTATCCATCGAATTTTGTCGTCAATCTATTGGTTAAAATTTTTGTTAGGAGTTTATACATTACATTGAGGAGTGTTATAGGACGGTAGTTTTTTATATCTGCTTTATCCCCTTTCTTGTGTAGGATATGGTTACTGATTCCTTCCAGTTGTTTGGGATTCTTTTTTCTTTTAATATCTGTTAAAAAAGGGAATGTAGAGTATTAATTACCACTTTTCCACCATATTTCAGCATCTCTGTAGTTACTCCATCTTTTCCAGGCGATTTGTTGTTTTTTCATTTCTTTCAATGCCTTCTTTATTTCTGATTTGCTTATTTCGGGCTGCAGCTCTGAGTTGACATTTTTTATTTTGACCTTAAGTTGGTTTTTAATTTCTTCTGGTGGTTCCTTTTTTGTTTTATATAATTCTGAGTAGAAATGGTGGATTATATTTATGATGTCATCTTTAACGTTTGTTTCTATTCCATTTACATCTTTTATTTTGTTAATTTCAAACTTACCTAATTTCGGCCTTAAGCATTTCATATTTTTGTTGTTTTGTATTACTTCTTCTATTTTTATTTCTTGTTCTTTTCTCTTACTTTCTTTTATCATTCTGCTTATTGTTTTATTTATTTCTACATATTCTATAGATTTCCTTTTGCCTTCTTCGTTCAGCTTCCTTCTTTTATCCATAAGCTTCTTTGTTTCTGTTGATATATAGTTTGTTCTTTTTTAGATCCTTCTTTGCTATTTCTTTTCCTGATGTAATCATTGTTGCTGTAAGTATGTTGTCTATTTCGTCTATATCTTTATCGTCACTGTCTAATCTTTGGGTAAGTTGTTCTTTTAATAGGTCTTTGTATATCTCTTTATATTGACCTAGTTTGTTTCTATCTACTAGATTCCAGTTTCTACTTATTTTTCTTTTCATCTCATAGTTACCGTCAATACTAATTTTTGCTCTGACCATCCTGTGATCGCTACCTGTTGTGAATCTGTTAAGAACTGTTACATCTTTAATGATATATCGTTCCGTGGACAGTATGTAGTCGATCTCATTTTTTGTGGATCCATTAGGGCTGATCCATGTCCACTTTCACGAATACCCGAAGAGATTAACATTTTTAAAACCAAAGGGCACAAGAAGTAGAGGACGACCACGAATGAGGTGGATTGATGATTTGGAAGAAGACCTACAAATTCTAAGGGTCAGAAGATGGAGGGGAGTTGCCAGGAATCGACAGGAGTGGCGAGTTCTTTGTAAACAGGCCAAGATCCACAATGAATTGTCGTGCCATTTATGATGATGAATAAAAATCTTAAGTTATACACAAACAAAACAATCTAAATGCTTCTAACCGGAAATTTATTTATCACAGATTAATATTACCTTTTAATTATCTATAATTGCTTTTAATTGAAAAATTTAATACTAATCACTTTGTCTGATTTAGGGTCCGAAGAACACGAAAGGTTACTATATAGCTTGCCAAGGCCCCCTTCAGAACACAGTAGACGATTTTTGGAGAATGGTTTGGGAACAGCAGTCCAAAGTAATCCTAATGATCACACATCTCTTCGAAAATGGAGTGGTAAGGGTTCTTATACAATTATTCATTTAAATAAAGTATTTTCGACTACTTCAAAGTCTTCTTCATGGCTTCTAAGGTCTCAGTCTCCAGAGTATTCAGACACTAGTACACTAATCACTAGTCAATGCACTAATGCTATTGGGAATACAGGACGGTTCATTTACACCGTAGATAGTGAGGTGGTTTGGGTGGAGGTTGGTATTGGGGTTGGCGTGGGGATTGGCTTGAACGTTTCTGACGGCGGGATTTGGATTGGAGGCTGAAGCGAACGATATTTTCTTTAGGAGTTGTATATCGAAGGTAACCGGATGCCTTTATCTCTTTTATTGAGACAGTTGGGCTTTTTATAATTTCTATGGCTTCTCGGATAATTCTTGGTTTATAGAAGCGGATGGGGCTATGGTTTATGAGTTTTCAAAATGAATTTTGTGACCTGTATGAAGATGGTGTTGACCTAGAGCTGAAATTGAATCGGCATTGCGAACAGAAATGGAATGTTCATAAATCCTATATTGGAGTCCACAATTTGTTTGGCCTATATAAGATCGGGAGTAGTCTGCAAGGAATTTTATAAACTCATTGTTGTTCATTTTTAATGTTGTCTTTAATTAATCAGACAAGAGATAAAAGCTTTTGTTCGGGGGTAAATATTGTCTTTATTCATATGATGAGGATCTGAGTCTTTGGGTTGAGATTGAGTGGGAGACTTGCATAATCTCAAAGGCGTATTGATCTTTAGACAAGGGTTTTATGAGTTGGCATGCAAATAACGATTGGTATGTGTGGGTTTACAATAAACAGAGTGATGAAAACCTTGGGATTGGTTTTTCTTAAAAAACAATTTGCCTACTCGTGACACACGAGTTGTCAAATTGTTTGTCACTCGTGACAAACTAGTATCTTGTTCTCCACAAATACGAGAACTGTCAAACGCCACTGAGGTCTCAATCTACCTACTCCTCAGTGTCGAGTGACGACCAGTCTTACCCTGTGTATCTGCTTTTATATCCTCACTATCACTGGGAACGATAGGTGCAAAAAACGATCTGAGCGGGATGGGTTGGGGCGGAGGGATACTGAAGCAGCGGTCACCATGTTGCCGGCAGTCTTTTAACGCCATCTGTGTTTTGGCCTGTCCGAATATGATGTCGGGCTAGGGCTGAAGTAGTATTAAAATCCACAAGGAAAACAATTCCTGTAGCTGGCTGTATACCACGTTATCACAAAAAAGAGGTTAGACTTCGTAATTGAGTATATTTATTTAAAAAACCCTTAAAAGGGCTACATCAAAAAAAACAAACGTTTTCGGACTAAAACAGTCCATCATCAGGTTTGAAATTGCTAGGTTAAAATGCCTGAGCCACTAAAATACCAGGGTATAAAAAACCCTTTAAATTACATGTAGTTGTTAAAGATTGTACATATTGTTGTTATTAAAATGCGATGTTAAATATTGATTTTTTCATTGATTAATTGAATTTTCACTTCAATTAAATATTTAACAGCTTCAGGTAACATGTCTGAAGTGAGTTCCAGTCTTTTCAGTTTTTTTTTTAATAAAGAAAATAAAGACGCTATTTTTTCAGGTCATATTTTGTTCATTGTTTTTTGTTTTAGGAAAAATGTGTGGATTATTTGCCACCATCAGAAGTTCTGGACTGCAACAGACTCTTCGGAGATTTCCAAGTGACTTTAAAAAAGCGGGATGTTAAGGATAAATACATAATATCCAATCTTCAGTTAAAAGTAAGTAATCGTAACACAATGGTCATATTGTGAGATTTAGGTATTTGAGAAATAAATATGACTAGACATAATGTCTCACAAAAAATATTAAGCCTGGTATTAATAGTTTTGTATTTGTAGAATATGGTTTCAAACAGTTGGAGAGAAGTTACCCATTTCTGGTATCTAGGTTGGCCAGAGAAAGGAGTACCATCAGAAGAAAATTCTCTAATAGCTTTTCTTATAGAAGCTAGAAGCTTTATGAAATCATCTACTTTGGATAAGGTATGCACTTGCAATACTAGATAATGAGTAACTACTTCTTTAATAGAGTTATTTATTTTGCTATCCGAAATGAAGACATTGCAGTTTCACATTTTTCTCATTGATTTTTTATTCAGTCCCAACTTTGCTTAAATACAATAATAAAACAAGTAATCTATTTTTGGTATGTGTTTACACTTTATAGTCTTCAACAAAATAGGTTGAGGAGGGGAGAACTGTTTGTCCCAAGTTGGTCACTCATAATTATGCCAGTATTTTTTTAATTCGGTAATTTCCATAGATTCTAATAAAGATTGCCCAAGGTCTTTATTTTGGATGTGAATAATTTGAAATTCGTTAAAAGAATAAATAGCTTTACATAATCTTGTCTTTGTTTTTAGACCGCTGCTGCTAATGGCAACACCAACGGTCCACCAAAGCTTGAAGTGAATCCGGTAGTGGTTCACTGTAGCCCAGGGACGGGCAGGACGGGGGTGGTTATTGCGTGTGATATAGCAATTAGGGAGTTTGAGCAGACGAGGCTTGTAGATATCCCCAAAATAGTGTATAGGATAAGAAGGGACCGGGCTAGCGCTGTCCAGACCAAGGAACAGTATACGTTTATCTATAGGGTAAGTATTAGATCGTTCTTTCTGGAACAATATTAATATCAATAGAATTAACATATTATTAAACAAGTTTATTTTATAACTGCCCCATCTAATCATAAAAGTTAATCAACGACAAGCTCTGTATCATAGTATTTGGGTCCCAGAGGTATTGTTTAGTCTTTTGGTCGTTATATAAAACAAAATCCCTAATGACTTCTTCTTCTTTAAGTGCCATCTTCTATCGAAGGTTGGAAATCATCATGGCTATGCGGACTCTGTTGACTGCCGCTCTAAAAAGTTCTGCACTACTGCATTCAAACCATTCCCTTAAGTTCTTAAGCCAGGATATTCTTCGTCTTCCCACATTTCGCTTTCCTCGGATTTTGCCCTGCATAATAAGTTGTAATAATGCGTATTTTTGCCCTCTCATCACATGTCCCAAGTACTCAAGTTTTCGTCTTTTATTAGTTAATATTATTTCCGCCTCATTTCCTATCCTAGTTACTTCCATGTTTGACATTCTTTGAATCCATGATATTCGTAGGATTCTTCTGTAACACCAAAATTCAAAGGCGGCCAGCTTATTCAGATGAACTTGTTTGAGTGTCCAAGCTTCCAGACCATAAAGAAGAGTAGAGAACACGTAACATCGAAGCATTCTCAGGCGTAGTTCTAAACCTTATATCCCGACAACAAAGAAACTTTTTAAGTTTAATAAATGATGTACGTGCTATTTCAATACGTGTTTTAATTTCTTTGGTTTGGTCTACATCTGATGTTATCCATGTTCCTAAATATTTATAGTTATTAACATTCTCAATTGCAGTATCTTCAATAGTCAATTGGATATTTACATGTGCAGACTTAGTCATGATCATGCATTTAGTTTTCTTTAAATTTATCTTCAGTCCGTACTCATGACAGCGTTCATTAAGGCGTTGCATTAGGTTCTGTAAATCATTGTTGTTATCCGTAATTATTATTGTATCGTCTGCAAAACGTAAGTTATTCAAAACTTCTCCATTGATAGATATACCTTCTATTGAGTCTGAGAGCGCTTCTTGAAATACCGCTTCACTGTAGTCATTGAAAAGTAGTGGGGACAGCACGCAACCCTGGCGGACTCCTCTCTGTATTTTGATATTTTCGGTGTACTGGCTGTCAACTCTTACCTTGGCAGTTTGATTCCAATATAAATTAGATATAATTTTCAAATCACGACTGTCAATATTTTTGCTTTTTAATATATCTACAAGCTTTTTATGTTGAACTTTATCAAATGCCTTTTCAAAGTCTACAAAACATAAGTACATATCCTGATTCATGTCCATGCATCTCTGAGCCAGCACATTCAAGCCGAACAAAGCATCTCTTGTACTCATACCATTTCTAAAGCCAAATTGTATGTCACTAATCTCATAATCAAGCGTTTTTAACAATTCTGCTCTGAATTATTTTCAAAAATGTTTTAAGTGTGTGACTCATTAAAGCTATTGTTCTGTGGTCTGAGCAAGTTGTTGAACTTGGTTTTTTGGGAATTGCTACAAAGGTTGATTGCAGCCATTGTCTGGGGATTGTGGCAGTCTGATATATTAGATTAAAGAGTTCAACCATTACATCAATAACATCTTCATCGATGAGTTTTAATAATTCGATGGGCACCTCATCTGGTCCAGTAGCTTTACCCTCTTTTGTGATTTTGATGCCATAGATGACTTCTTCTCTTAATATTGGTGGTCCAGTATCCTCGGTGATTTCTAATGACAGTTCTTCTCTTTCATCATTAAATAGTTGTTGAATGTAATTGGTCCAGTGACATAATCTCTCCTTCATATCAGTAATAATATCCCCTTTATCATTTTTAAGGATATTCGTTTTTGTACGCTTTCTAGAACCTGTCATTTGTTTGATTTTTTTTGTGTAAATTAAAGCTATCGTACTTTTTATCCAGATCTTCTAATTCCGTGCATCTATCGGAGAGCCACCTCTCTTTTGCCTCTCGAATTTTCTTTCTGATGTTTCTCTGAATTTCTTTGTATTTATTCAGGTCATTTGCTTTATGTTTTCCTAATGACTAAAAACCAAAATTCATCTAGTAAGTAAAAACGACATAATACAGCACCAATTCACAGCTATTAAGAACCTTTGAAAATAGTCGACAAATTACATATCTTGGATGCAGCCTAAATAAGGAATGGGACCAGTCACAGGAAAGAATATATTATATAGAAAAGGCGAGAGCTGTCTTCAATCGCATCAGGAAGATTTTATGTAATATGCACCTGAACATTGACATAAGAACACGAGTCTTGAGATGCTATGCATTTTCTACCCTTTTTTATAGAGTCGAAGCTTGGACATTGACGAAGGCAACATCCAAACGATGAGAAGCCTTCGAAATGTGTTGCTACTGCCGCATGCTCAAAATGTCTTATATCCAATATGTTACAAACAACAGCATGATCCAATATATGAATAAAGATCTGGAAATTATGCGTATCGTGAAAATTAGAAAGATGACATACTTAGAGCATGTGATGCACAATGAGAAGTATCAACTAATTCGACTAATTTTACAAGGCAAGATAGAAGACAAAAGAACTCAATGGCGCAGAAGGATATCGTGGTTGAAGAACATCAGACAGTAGGCAGGAATGACTACCATACATCTATTTAGACCAGCTGTCAACAAAGTTGTACACAAAGTTGTCAACAAAGGTTAGAGAACGACGTTCCGAGCAATCGGGACATAATGTCACTATACTCTTTTAAGAGTCAACAGACAAAAGAAGAAAATAAAGTTATGATGTGCGAAAATATTTACTCATCACCTGGAATATAAATTAATACTGCAATTTTTTTAATAAAAAAGCACTTTAAGAAAAAGAAAAGTCTCAAGAACAAAGGAAAACGAAATGAAAACTACTATCTAAGAGTATCTTTGGCTCACTGAATATCCCAGCATTCTTTTAATTTGTGAAATTGTCTTTGAAATTATTTAAAATCCCGTAATGATAACCTTAAAAAATGACATTACACTTCAAAATTTTTAGGTATATCTAAAACAAAAATAGTGTAAATCGTTGATACAAAAAAGTAAACAGTCCATAAAAAAGAATATATGGTACACATTTGAATCTGCTTCGTGGTTGTTGGTAAAGAATCTTGAAGGCAATAAAGGGTGTCTACCGGGTGGTGAATCGCCATACGGGCCGTATCAAACTCAATTGGAAATTCTGAATTGTTGCATTCCTGCTTCCCTAATTATTTTACATCAAAAGTCATAAGAAACTATTTTTAGAGGACTGAAATGTGTATTAAAAACAAATGTTAAAATTGTTCTACGAATTAAAGCGTACTTCAGAATGTTGCAAAAATATAATACATTTTTCAGGCCACCCCTAAAAGTCAGGCCACATGAAGTGCAAGAATGTGTATGACGTGTTGCGTTTGATCATATTGATGTAGACAATATTTGAATTGTCAATATTTTTGGTTCAAAAATATTGGTTCGTGCATTAGCGTCATCTATTAACAAAATTTACTGCCGAGTCGTTAGAAATTGACTAATGAAGGATTATAGTGAGGTAATTTTTGGATAGATGCCGCTCGATATAGCGATGAGATATTATAGAATAATATTCATAGATGTAGTAATCTGCATCAAAATTAGGTGAGATTTCTTCAGTTTTTTAACGCTTAGTGCGTGTGAGGTCCGCTAGGTGGACATAAATAAGGGGAAAAGAATATATAAACATTGTTTGAGATTTCATTTGTTTCCCCTGATAATTATATAGAATTTTGTGTAAGTGGTTTTAAGTAAGATAATATCCTGGACGCAAAATAATCATTTTTACTTATACGAGTGTATTTTTAAATCATAATGATATAACTTTTCTAAGCCTTCTCCTCTTGCCAAGTATGAAATAATCTAAATAAAAAGTTGTATGTGTAAATGCTAAAATAGGCAATGACATTGTTATGTCTGCAATTAACCTTTCTTCGGGCAATTTTTTCTCTTTATGTACTGAAGTGGTAGACTTCAGTTGTTGTCATCATATCGAACTCAGTAACCCTAGATTTCCAGACTTGTAGCTGCACGTGATTACCGGACTATCGTAAATTTTACTACCTATAAAAAATTCCTTGTAATTACAAAACGTATATTCAAAATCTGAACAGGAGAGTTTTTATCACTATAATATCATTTTAAACGAATAAAAAATAGAATTAGAATAAAAAATAGAATTCATGATGCTCACCGCATGCTTGCATACTTGGCAACATGTAGTTGTCATTTGCCGTTTTTGGCTTGGATAATAAAAGCAATTTTTCTTTTTCTTTCTTGATATCTGGGAACTTCTTCTGCAGCAGGTATCTTTAAAATGTGAGCTATATCGTGACAAATATTTCGACGCAAAGTAGCGGTTGCGAATATTTGTCTCATCCATGATTCAACAAGAGACTGGCTCAAATCACCATATACTGGTACCGAGAGACGGGCTTTTTACCTCGTTTTAATGTGATGTATGTGTAAATGACATAGGAATTATTACTGGTTATATTAACCATATCATAAAATACACAGATTTCACACAACAATACACACAACGGCCATCTTTGGATTTTGTAGCAGTAGAAAGCAGTAAAACTAGTTTTAACCATTGGTATTAGTTTTCTTTCCCAGATAGGGACTTGCATCCAACATATATTTACTGGATTAATCACATAACATAACAATCTTAACATAACAATGAGTGGAAAGGATTATTTACTTGTCTCTCTTGCCTTGTTTGCTTTTCGTCAAATCTTATACAATTTAGTAGAAATGTAAAGCGATTACAACTCATACACGCTCTGTAAAACGTTCCTGAAATGGAGGTGTTAAACATAAATTATATATTTTGCAGATAAATGGTTATCTTTTTTTGAGGCAGAAAGGACAAGAATTGCAAGAAATGATTTAATGCTTCAATTGATATTTGAGACACATTTTCATGATTATTATGTTTCTCAGCTTGTCTTAGAATTTCTGCATTTGTATGTTGCAAAATAATTTCAAGTACCGTGTTTGGAAAGAAATGTAAGAAGTGTTCATTAAAAGTATTACAGTTTTTTATCGGTACCTTTAAGACCTGATACGAAGTGAATAAGATTCCTTGTCCTTCTTGATTTATGGGAAACTTCGGTTGACCACTTATGACCATTCTTACCCTTATAACTTTTTTTTGTTGGGACCACTACATACTTTGATTTTCCTGCTATCGAGGTAGAAACTTCTTCAATATTCGAAATGGCATCTTGCTCTGTTGGTTCGTTAGAACAAGGAGATATACTCAAATCTCAAGACAGCTTCATTATCCGAGCGTGAAGATTCTATCTCCAGATTATCTTCTTCCCAGTCGCTGCCATTCGAAGGGAAGACGATGGAAATAGCCAAAAAAATGTACACCTACTAATAATAGAAGTATCGTTGATACCGGAGCTTCGTAAAATTAACGACGAAGGTGTGAAAACTATATTGTAGAAATTTTAAATGGTAAAGAAGTAAGCGAATTTTTAAATACTTAAAGAAGTAAGCGAATCGTAAAATTTACGAATATCCAGTAATCTAGGGTTAAGATGGTCATAAATTAACTAAATATATCTTATCCAGTCATTCTTGAACTTTGTACAACAAACGTAAATTGTTTTTAATAGCTACATTATTTTAATATATAATACAAATAATAAAGAGTTCGTCATGTAGGTTATTTAATAGAACTCTTTACATAGATATATGCATTTTGACAAAATCTATATAAGACAGAAAAAAAATGAATCCTGGGATCAAAACTGTCAAAAATTAAATACGTACATAGGAGGAACTAGAAGTACAGAAAGCTGGAAACTTATTAAATCTCTTAGGATCAATGACAAGAAAAAAGATTTAATCTCACCAATTTCATTAGAAACATGGGACATGTACTTCAGTAAACTGTTACAAGAAGACCGAATGGAATTCAAAATAAAAGAAAGTAACCAAAACATACGCGTTGAAGCATCTCCTATAAGAATCACGAAAAAGGAAGTAAGGGATATCTGTATTTCACTCAAAAACAAAAAAGCGCCCGGACCTGGCAATATACCCTCAGAACTGATAAAATATGGAACTGAAAAACTATATGAGCATTTGACAATACTCTTTCAAAACTGCATAAACAAAGTAGAGGTTCCAGCCGAATTTAAAACCTCAACCATTTCAACTGTACATAAAAAGGGAAACAAACAAAATTGCGACAATTACCGTGGAATAGCAGTTACTAGTACCATTAGTAAAATCTATGGGAAAATGATCAAAAATAGAATAGAAAGAGAATACACTGATATGGAGGCAGAAGAACAGGCGGGTTTTAGAGCTGGTAATCGACCATAGACCACCTTTTTGTATCACCCAACTTATAGAAAAAAAGGTTGCTGTAGATCAAGAAGTCCACTTTTTGTTTGTTGATCTAAAAAAGGCCTACGATAGCATCCCTCAAAATAAGTTATGGAACACTCTCAGACAAACGAACATCAACTCAAATCTCATAACAGCAGTGGAAAAACTATATGAGAACGCCAACGCCAAAGTTAAAATAGGAACGAATGTTTCCAAAGGTTTTGTAGTAGACAAAGGACTGAAGCAGGGATGCTGCTTAGCGCCGACACTTTTCAAAATATATCTGGAACAAGCATTAAAACTCTGGAAGCGGAAATGCAGCGGCATGGGTATACAATTAAACAATAACAACCTGTACACTCTATGTTTTGCTGATGATCAAATTGTGATTGCTAACGAATATGACGACCTAGAATACATGACTCGAAAATTAATCGAAGAATACAAAAAATGGGGATTAGAAGTCAACATAGATAAAACAATGTACATGAACATCGGTGGTAAAGAACAAAATCTAGTTTTAAACGACGGACAACACATTAAGTACAACAATAAATATTCCTATTTAGGAGTAGAAATCACAGACGACGGCAAATCAGATCAGGCTATAAAAAAACGAAACACTCAGGGTAGAAGGGCCATATCTCAACTAAATAGTATTATCTGGGATCAACATATATCCAAAAAAAATAAACATCGAATATACAACACTATTATAAAGAGCATAGTAATGTATGGAAGTGACGTGTGGCAGTTAAAGGCAACTACTGAAAGAACACTACAAGCCACGGAGATGGACTACTGGAGACGGGCCGCAGGAAAATCAAAACTCGAAAGAATTAATAACGAACGTATACGAGAGGTTATGGGAGTCACACATACGATTGTCGAAGATATAAGAGTACAACAACTAAAGTGGTATGGACATGTGCAGAGAATGCCAGAACATCGTCTGCCCAAACAGATTATAGATTGGTCACCACATGGAAAGAGAAAAAGAGGCCGACCCAGAAAGAGCTGGAGAGAAGGAATAGACAGAGAGATCCGAGAGAGAGGTTTAGACGAAGATCTTTGGGAAGATAGAGATGCATGGAGATTGGGCATCGGAAGACGTCGGAGGGACGTTTTAAACCGATTATATATATATATATATATATATAATATATATATATATATATATATACAAAATATCTTATTTTGTACTTTTTTTATAAAATATCTTTTTATTATTAGTATCTAGTGTTAATTTTCTTTTTTTTTTTTTTTTTTAGGTCGTCAGTCTATATGCAACAAAGCTGACAGGTGGAGCCTTGGAGTCCTTATAATATTGTAATGTGTATGTTAAAGAAAATATATGAGTCAGTTTGATCCCTACATGTGAAAATATAACTGGTTGAAGTATACATCTTTTTATTCCTTGTTTAAGAAAGATCTTTGCTTTGTAGTGCTAGTACAATGACTATCATTTATTGATTTATACAAGAGTTAGGAAAATCATATTTATTACGTTTATGATTTATCAAAATATTCTTGTCGAGAGCTCGAAAATTGTAATTTTTATTTTACAAAACTTATCTTTTGTTTTCTTTAACTCAGAAATTGTCTTAGTTGCTTCTCTGTGTGTCCTATTCTATGGTATAACTGAATCTCTTGTTTTCTCTATAACAAATCTATTAATTAGTTATTAAATTCTATTTTATTTGTGCCGTTTGATTCCAAATATTGAATCTGTAAATTGTGTGTGTTATTTATAACGCACCTAATATTGACTTGTTCTTTCTAAATTAATTTGGGATATGTTAGTATAATAAAGTATGAAATCTTTTCGAAGCTGTATAAAATGAGTAATTCAGTTTTACTCATTTTACTAATAATCAATATAACTCACAAAAATATTGTCGTGACGTCATATCAAAATCGAAAGTTAAATTAAATGTGTGGATATGGAATGATTGATCATGAAACTTTCTTAGGGACATAATTGACTTATATATTTTTTCTTGCTCTATATTTGTTAATCTATTTTTGTGATACCTAGTGAAAATTGTTATTTGTATATTATTTTAGATTTAGTGAATGTATTTTGATGGAAATATATAAAAATTTGTAAATAACAAACATTGTGTATTTAGTGTACATGTTCGCAAATATTTTTGAGATGAACTGTGTTTCTATTACGTAAGTTTTTGTTAAATATTGAGCTCTCTATTTCAATTTATAAAAATATCAAATAAGCACTGTTTTATTTATTACTTCGAAGACATTTGATTGATTTTATGATCACTGACAAGAGGCAATTCTTTAAGAAGAAGAAAAAGGAAGATAGATATCGCATGATCTAAAGGAAATCTACACTTATCTGGACAGAGCCTAATAATATAAATGCATTTGAAGAATACATCAAAAGCTTTCTCGAAAGCAATAAGAATACAAACAGTAATATCAACACCTTGAATGACATTATAATAAAAGCTATACAGGAACTCCAGAAGATACACTGCCAAAAGAAATCATATAACGAAGTCCTCAAACCATCGAGCAAAAAGACAAAAGAGGGAATCTAATCGTTATGAAAAGGAGACTAAAAAGTGGCCTCTGATGGCGGACATATCCGGAAATGCGAATGCGCCAAATTTAAATTTTTCGACACTTATTAACAGTAGCTATAATATAACTTCAATATAAATAAGATTTCATGTGACAGTTGGGACAAACAATAACATAACCCAACTAAATTTGATTTCTTAAACAAGGAAAGACTCTCTTTCCTTGTTTTTAATGTGGTCTCTCAAGATGGCAGTTCCTGTCTAATATTTTTGCCCCCACTACCTTAACATTCTCTCTTTAGTCTTTTTGCTCGATGCCCCAAACAAAACATTATTGGAAGATAGAAGAAAATGCAAAGTAACAGAAGCAAAAACACTTAGGAGATAAGTAAAAGAATACAAAAAACTATTAAAATAACAAGAGTCTCAAAGAAAATTGAAAATGGTAAAACAGAAATAATGAAATTAAGGGATAAATATGGCACTATTATCACCAACAGAGATAAATTACTAAGGGTAGCAGAAGACTTACAGACTATACAGAATTATACAGAATTAACGAAACTATGATGAGCAACTAACAAAAAAGTTAAAAAAAGGGATGAAAAAAAAAGTCAAACAGATTAGTCAAACAAGGATCGGAATTGATGCCTAATATATCAACAGAGGTAATAAAAAAACTTACCTAAGAAAATGAAAATATATAAAGCGCCGGGAGAAGATAATATCGTTATAGAAGCCGTAGAGATTGGAGTAGACAGACTTTTAGAGAATATAAAGAAATGTTTCTACTTATGTCTGCACCAAAGTGAAAACATCTACAAGATAGCACAGTGCACTTACACTTTATTACAGAAAACCAATCCAACAAACGACAACCAATCTCACTACTCTACACAACCTTTAAGGTTTATTTAGTCTTAAATGTTGTTATGTTTCTGCGAACGGTTTCCGAGTTTGCAATTTATAGGTACTTCACCATCAACCAATCAATCAATATATCAACAAATAGTTGTAGTTAATTTGGCCATCATAAAATTTCTCATCAACAAGTTAACTATTTTGAAAATTAAAAAAAGGGGGACACTTACAGAATTAAATTAACCTTTAAGTACTCACATGCATTTTGCATACATAAGTGTTCGCATGGCGCCTCACAAGCACCGAGATTTAGTATTATGACATATCAATGTTTTATTGTTTTATTTTGCTTTTATAAAGTTCTTCTTCTTGTGGTGCGTATCCATTACGGATGTTGGCAACTAGCATGGCAATTCTAGTCCTGAAGTGGTCAAGGAAAACCATTTTCGTAAATTCGCGGGCCATGATATTCTTCTTCTTCCTGGTCCCCTCTTTCCGTACACCGTTCCCTGTAATATAAGACCCTACCCTTAAAAAACTCTTTTATAAAGTTAAAAATGTTTAATGTGGTTTGTGAGTGAAAGAATGCAATAATTATTAACTTAGAGTTAATAGTACTTATAGTAAAACCAAAATGATTTTGAGAACGACTTCAGAAGTGGAAATTGAAACGCAATAAAACTTACTTTAACCTATAATTGTGGCTTATTCCCATTCAAATAGTAATTACATTAAATGCCACAAGAAAATAGCTTAGTATAAAATTATTAAAAAATACACCAAAAGTCCAATTCCTCTCTTTGGGTAGAGAAGAAAGTACAAATATGGGCTACCAGTTTGTTTATTGCTGATATCTTGACTATTTTTTGATCGGAAAAGTTCAAATTACATAATTGGCATGTAGAATTGTTTTGCACTTTTGTGCGTCAGTTTTTCTGCCTAGTAAGATATTTTTTTTCTGTTATGTCATAAAAACACTTACAGTGTCATTTAAGTAAGAAATGGAAATGGTGATATAAATGTGGGCTACTGGTAAAAATATTTTTATTTTATAATTTTTTATGTACAATATTCACACACATATTCGTCTCTTTCTGCACCAGAACAATCTATAGGTGCGCACAAGTTGTACATAAGGCACTGAATCCATTTTTTCACCTCGATAATCCTCACAAAATTTTCCGTCACAGAAAATACAATTTACATCCGTATTTTCCGGATTTGTTACACCAGAAATTTTTTCGAAATCCATATCTTCATCAGCTGGTTGAAATTCCTGCTCACTATCGTTGTCAGAAGAAATTTCAGTTTCTTTTTTATGCCGCATCTCTGTCTTGTTTTAATTTTTTTCTTAGTCGATTCCCTTGAGGACTCAGCAGTAATGTGTCGTTTTACTGTTGTACATTTAATTTCTTTTTGCTGTTTGCTGGTCTAATGCTTCCTTGTAAGGTGAAGAAGTTAATATCGTTGATTTCGATGATTTTCTACCACGATTTGTAGATTTTTTCCTGATCGACGGCACTGGCGATATTTCAAATGGACTTACAAACTTCTGCAAATCAGAAGGATATGGTTTACTGATTGCTAAGACAATACGTATGAAGAAACCTGATGCTGTTAAAAACGTGTAGTAAATGACATGCTTCATTCAACATTGTATATATCAGGCGATTTTTCTAATGATCATATTTATAAAAAAAAATTAATCTATGTATATTTGATTGATGCAAACTAGTTTTTATTTTATTTAGACTCACAATAACCTGCGGTGGACATAATTCTTTTATTATACATTTATTTTCAAATAGTACAAAATATAAGTATGTATTCAAATTTTTGTGTACTCCAGAGCATATGTTATATAACCATAAGTTTATTTTATTCCTTCTGCCACCATGAGATTTATGTCTAGCTATGTCTAGCAAACTTGTGACTTATCGCTTTCATTTAAAAAGATAAGTAAAATCCTGGCACAGAAAATACTATAGTAACGAAAATAAAACCAAGAATAAGAACGACTATCTTTTAAAACCCGTTTATTCTCGTTATACTAATTCGAATAAAACCGTTTTAGTCCATATATTTGTCGCCATTTTTTGGAAAATGTTGTATGTAATTGGTCTGAATAAATCTGGATTCATGCAGTTATTATTTGACGATTAAAAAGTTGGGGACCGATTTTATGTTTTATAGACAGAACAATTGTTGAGAATCAGGTCCGGCTTTAGGTATTGTGTATTTTTTTTTAATTATTGTAATAGATTCTTTTATTGTTTTATTATTACCACAGTCAATTTATTTCTGTATCTATTTGCCAAAAGTTGATATGTGAAAAAACACGGTTATCAGCTTTGCGAATCATGATATGTGTTTAAAGTTATATTTTTATATGATAAAACTTGATATGTCTAAGAAAATTTTGTTGATAAGTCGACATATCAAATTTTGTCACCATCAGATTTAAAATGTGGACGGATGTTTTATAGACATATCAAGTTTTGGTTACCAGCCATCTAGTTAGAAACTAGATTCTAACTCGATGTTACCCGCTAATAGATAACATATAATTTTATAATATTGTTACGTAAAAATGAGTCATATTATAAAAAACCTGTAAACATGTTGTTTACTCACTAATATGATCTAGATTTTACGACCCTTCGACTAGCTAGCGGAAATTCCAAGTAATAAAAAAAGAACCGGTCCATTCGAACGTTACGGAAATACGTTGAAAGAGCAGCCGTAGCCTTCCAGTATTTTCGACAAGGGTCGACATCCTTGTAGTGGAACAGCTGTATGGGTATATAACATAATTTTCATTGAAAGAACTCAGTCAAAAAAGAAATTCGCGACGGGTATTTAAAATGTAACGCACGTATAAATAAATTATGTATTTATTAGTCAAATAAATTTGTACA